GATGTTGTGTAGGTGCTGCTGGTAGGTAGGTGGTGCAGAGTTGGAAGTTCAAGAGTGTGAAGTGTGTTTTCATGCTCATAAAGTTATTTGTATCAACAGCAAAAAGTTCTAAAGATGAGTAAATAAGAATGTTCATCCTGGAAAGCTTAGATGTGATGCAATGTAAACCTCTGAAAAAGAAGGATGCTGCTTTTGCTTACTAGGGGTAGAATAGACAATTAATTTAGTATTTCCAAAATATTCAGTTTTTGGTCATGTAATCAGCTAAACTCTTAACTTAAAAAAAATATTGTGTTTTCCCATCAGCAGCACCACCTAGAACTGATATTAAACCACTGGTGATGGGGTCCACATGGCTTTCAAACACGCCCCACCTCCAACAATCATCAGTTTCAGGCTGTTTTCTCTGCTGTTTCCACTTTTTTATTCCTATCTGAAGAAGCTACTATTTTATCCTGAGCACAAGCAAGATCAGATCCTGGTATACTCAAATGAATCTAATATCCAGACTCTAATAGTGGGTTTAGGATGATTATAACTTAATGCAGCTCTGTGAAAAAATCTGGAGAGCTATTTCAAACTACTTTATGCTCCATATAGTTATTCACTCCATGGTATATATCAGATTTTTTTTTCCCCAGCACAAAATATATAAGACTACTTGAATTAGAATTTAATTTCAAAAGGCTATCATAAAAATTAGTATTTTACACTCCCCTGTTCTCTCTAATTGCCCACTTAATCACATTATTTTTTCCCCATAACCAAAGTCAGAACTTGGATGGTGATGAAGCACTGCACATCTTCAGTATTTCTGAAGATGTTTTGGACTGCTGGCTTTTCCTCCACTGCTGCAAAACAAGTATCTAATACGCTGGTTTATTTTATTTCAAAAAATTATTTGCATTTGTGCTGCCCCACCTAAAATCATCTCTAGTAGCCAGCCTGGGGAGCAAGCAAGAGAGTCTCTGCACTACACAGAACTTTGCAGTGGAAATACCGATGCTATTCATGTTCAAATTTGTCCTTATATAATCAGCTTTTGTGTTGTTGGAAAATTCTTTATGCATGGGTGAGGCAAATAGTCTGCTTATATGAATATAGTCCACGTAACATCTTGTAGCAAAATGCACATTGATTCCAGTGGTACAAGCTCAACCCTACAAATGGTCTTATTTGTTGAGCTAGTTAGTATCCTAGAAAAAAACCCCGAGTATATGCTCAGGCTGCCTTTTCCTGCTTGTATGTTAACCAAATATTAAACCAGAAGTAACCACAAAGTTTCATTCTACAAAATATAATTTTTGCTATTTCTATCCTATAGCTCTACACAACCACCTTCCTTGTGTGGGCTCTGTTACCTTTTTCAGGGACCTCATCAGAACACAACAATATTGATTCGACACTCAAAAACATGTTTTGCACCAAGCTGAGTTTTCTGTTGGTTTGTCAAAGGCTTTTTTAACCCCCACCCCCAATAGTGATAGCAACTAGATTGGCACTTGGGGAGAAAACTTGCAAAGCAAAATCATGTTTGTGCTCTTTTAGCCTTAAAAAAGGGAAAAAAACATCCAAACAACCTAAACAAAAACCCACAATCCTAAACACCACAACACACACACACACACAAATATGGGGGAGAAAAAAAGACCATTTTCTTACACTGCTCAGTACACAACTTGTAGCTGGAGATCCTAATCATCCTAAGAAAAACAAAATAGAATAGAAATAAAGGGAATGGAAAATATTAGGATGCAGGACACTGCCTAGTACTTTGCCTCACTCTGTACTATGTGACAGGAATTGCCAGCAGGCTGCTCAGGCTCACAGTGGAAAAGTACTGTCTGCTTCAGCCAAGGAAAGCAGGACTCCCCTGCCCTGTGGGGTTCTCAGGGCTGTCATCTGGTACTTACCTAATGTTTAGGATCTGCTTTGCAGCTCCTGTTTAGTTTGAAGCACATGTATGTACAGGGGAAGGAAAAGGGACCTGTTTGTCTCTTAGTGCAAATTCACATCAGTCAGCTACAAACTTCAGGTTTTCCTGTGGGCTTTACCAAACGTGCTTAACCTGTCATGGAAGAACACTTCCTTGAGATTTGAAAGCCTTTAAAGAGAGAAAGAAGATGATCCACATTCCTATTTTGTCCAGTGAGTTGACAATACTAAAATGAAAAAAGTTGGATTTAGGGCATACTGAGCACATCTTAACACCGGTTTTCTTCACAGAGTTCCATAGTGCAGTTTTAGGATGCTTGGGCCAGATGTGTTGCTGAGGTACACATGAAGAATTTAGACTCCTGCCAACTTCATAAATCCATCATTGAAATTTGTCAGATTATTAAAAAACAACCCAAAAAACCCCCATCAGAGTTCTCTGTTGTCTAAGCCCAGTCAGTGCCTATCCCTGTACCCAAGGAGTGGATATGGATGGTGCCTTAGGTCGGCCAATTTTTCCTTAATTACAGTAACTCAAGAAGGACTCAGAATGTTCAACCTTGGGCAACACCATACAACAGTTGTTCAAATTTATATTCATAGTGCTTAGAAGTATCCACACAGAAATTAATTAGTAGAATAAAGCAGCAAATGCAACAACGGCATTTTATGTTTATGTATATATATCTTTATATGCATGAAATAGAACATTTTAAATATTTAATTCTTAAACTGCATATAAAGATTTTTACAATGTCCAACCTAGCACTTTGTGCTGCACTGCAGCCAAAGTGTGTGTGTGCATTGGGTACCTGTCTGCAGTGGATTGGAGGAAGGAAGAGAAAAGAACATGCCTCCATTTGTCCTCTACCAATCTTCACATTTCTATGTTAAACTGTGATGGGATAAAATACAGTACAATGGTCATAACACTACCTATCTGTCCAAGTAGGTGATTTTTTGCAATGTGCTCTGAAATTGGAAAAATGTGGGAGGCTCAAGTTCACTGATATCGTTTAACACATCCATAAGTTTGTAGGCAAAGAGTATCTCCTACTAAAGTGTTCCTTTACACAATTTGAACATTGATACAATTATAATTTAAATACTCTCATAATTTAAATACGCAAATAATTTATCTTGATATGATGAATAATATTAATTCTCCTAACAGAGCATTCAAAGCCTTAATTGTACATGACTAACACAAGAGTAACAGGTGACAAGAGTCTTCCATCACTATGTGTCTAAAGCAGTCAAGTGATTCCCAACCCTCTGCCTTTAAACTACTCTCTCTTCCTCTCTTTGCATTGCCCTTGCTGACCTGCATATCTGTTCTGCAATATCCATATTAGACATTTTCTCCATCTAAAGATCAGGTATACAAACACACATCTCTGTGTTATTCTTACAGTGTACTGCTCAGACTGTTGCTTTGTGCTGTTTGAAATATAAAATTCCTATAGGGACTTCTTAAAAAATCCTTATAATGCAGTAAATCCTTTAGTTACTTGAAGTCAGTTAACAGGCTTTTTAAGACTAATCATTGCTAGGTACTTGACAAATATATACAGGATACTGTATTCACAGAGCGAAGTTGATATCATCATTCATTATTTTATTACTTTACAAAGACACACTGAAACCAGACTTCTACGTCTCATGGGAAAAAAAAAAAAGTCATTTGCATTACTTTCTGGGAAAGGCAGGATTAATGACATCAAATGCTTAGCAACTCTTCTGCTCAGAGTCTTTAATTCAATGTAAGATAATTTACACAGTAAGAAACAACTTCTAAAGACTCTGGAAGAGAAGTGGCCATTTTACTCATTAGCAAATGCCTATTTCTGAAACTTGCCTCTTGAAGGGGAAGTAGATATGCTAACTTTTAGATAGCTCACATTTGATACTGTGTGTTAACTACTCAAAATCTTTGTCTTTGTGCTGTTCTGGTTTTTTTCTAATGTGCTGAGAGTCCTTTGAGCCAGAAAAAAACCACAGAAATAAAATACTGCATTTTTACAGGTATACAAGGATTTATAGGAAGAATAAACTCCTTAAGACTATAGTAGAACAGTGCATGTACACTATTTTGGGTGTGTTTGCACTATTATAAGGTACCTAACCAAAAAAGGAAAGATAAAAAACACAGCAAACCCTCCTTCACTTAAAATAAATGTGGTCTTTAGATGCTCTAAAACAGTGGGGTTTGGCACAAAAATGAGAAAAAAACCCCACCAACTTGACCTGACTCTGCATTTACTTAAGTTCTGTAGTTGAAGAAAACTTGGGTTGATATCAGATCAGTATTTGGCAGAGCAAAATTACCAAAATAATATTTTAAATAATTCTGCATTTGTTGTTGCTCTCGAGAAAAACGCCACAAAGAGGTCCAGCTTCTGTGAACAGAAGCCTCCAGTCAGGCCTGATTTCACTTCCATGTGCACAGGGATGTGGCAGTTGCTCATCAGCATCACAGAGCACTCCATGATTCAGCAGATTTCTTCCTGAGGGAACGGCTGACAAAGGCTGGATGAATAGAGGCCTTTTCACATCCACTGGCAGAAAGCTGCAAAAGTCTTGGCTGAACTCTCTGGGGCTGGCAATGGCCATTAATGTCTCAACACGAGCACTCAAACTCTATTATGAGTGGTTTTCACACCTACACACACACAGTAGCACTTCCAAGAACTTTCGACTTTAGAACTTTTACGAGGGGTAAAAAATCAATCAAGGCCTCAGGGTATTTCTCTGATATTTTAGTCCTAATTTTTTTAAACGTTGTGGCGGATGTTTTATTACTATATCACTAAGGTGTAAGCATACTGCTGCAGCTCTGTGTTGCTACATCTCTTTCACCCATTAAACAGCAAATCTTGAATGATGCCAAAGCCTTATGGAGACTGAGGCTCAGGAGTGCTGAGCAGCTGCCCTCTCCCTGTCTTGCTCCTCCATCCCCATGAACCAGACACGGTGTCATGCTGGTGTTCAGTATTTCCGAGTTTGAATTCCCCGTAGCAGTAAAGCTGGATGCAGTTTTTAATAGTCTTTCTTTGGATTTGCAGGAGAGCTGCTCCCTCTGCTGAGTTCTCTGTCGATCGCCACCGGCACCTGATGTCCTTCCTCACCATGCTCGGCCCCAGCCCCGACTGGAATGTGGGGCTCTCTGCCGAAGATCTCTGCACCAAGGACTGTGGCTGGGTCCAGAAAGTTGTTCAGGATTTAATCCCCTGGGATGCTGGCACGGACAGCGGTGTTACCTACGAGGTATAGGGACTATTTTTAATATATTCAAATATATTACCTTAAAGCATAGAAGAGTGAAAGCTATTTGATCCATGGTAATGTCCTACAAGACTTTATACAACTCCAGCAAAAATTTTTCTTAAAATTAATTAGAAGTCATTTAAACAGATGTTAGCTACAGTTGCTGTTGGTCATTTTGTCTGAAGTCCTTAAGCATTATTATTAAGGGGATAACATTTCATTCACCTGGGATGTTATTACCACAGTATCACAAGTGAGTAAGGTTGGAAGGAACAACCATGAGTCATCTGGTCCAACCTCCCTGTTCAAGCAGGGTCATCCCAGAGCACGTTGCACAGCATTGTGTTCTTGAATATCTCCAGTGAGGGAGACTCCACCTCTCTCTGTGCAATCTTTTCCAGTGCTTGGCCACTTGTAAAGAATTTCTTGCTCATGTTCACCGCTTGTATTCAGCTATTGAATACACAGAGGACTTAGCATTTAGGTGTCCAACCCCTGAGTTTTGGACTGTTTCAATCCAATGCCAGCTGTTCTGTTTGGCACAGAAAACTATAACTATTCCCTACAGCAAGGATTGAAACTCAACTTCTCATCATCGTGAGACTATAAAATCATCCGTTTTCTCTGCCTTCATCACTCTCTCAGTCTAGGAAGAGATTCAAATCATCCTCAGGTAAAGTCCTGGTTTTGACCAAATGGGTTATGTCAAGTGAATTGAACAGGTTATGTGTCCATAGGTGACAGGTACCTACACTGTGTGTCTATGGAGGCAGTACAGACAAATGAAGTGAGACTTGACTAGTCACATCCTCAAATAGGACACATATTCCCATGTCAGATGACAAGATGTGGATGATTTTGTCTTTCAGACCCAGCCTCTTTAGAACCTGAGGAGTTTCTCCAGTTATAATACAGCTCTGGGGGGATATTGAATAATTTATTTTTTTTTAATTAATGTAGTTACTTAACCAGACAACAAGGCATGCATCTTATTGTTAACCCGGCTTCAGCCTGAATCCTGAACTATTAGAGAAGTACTTACTGACAAAAAACAACAACAAAAAAACCCAACCCCCCAAAAAAATAAACCAAAACCCCTTACCATTAAGGATGAATGTAACAAGTTCATCTTACACAGGAATTTTGCAATTTAGCATCCCAGAGAAGTTTTTATTTCTACAGATTAATTGTATTATTAATTAATACTTTCTTTTTAAACATTTTTTTCCTTTTTGATTGCAGTCTCCTAACAAACCTACGGTGCCTCAGGAGAAGATCAGACCACTTACAAGCTTAGATCATCCCCAAAGTCCATTTTATGATCCAGAAGGAGGATCTATCAAGCTGGTAGCCAGAGTTGTCATTGAGAGAATTGCACGTAAGGTATAATACACATGTAAAATTCTCAAGTGAGTGCAAAAAACCACTCCATAAACCAGAAAATTAACCTTTCCTCCCCCTTCCCCCAAATCTACACTCTTTACCCTACTCACAACAAAGCTAAGGGAAGAAAAAACTTGCAACTGTCTTAAGGTATTACTTCTACTTCTGGAAATTATTGCATCTGCTTAATTGGGGATTTTCTTTAAATATGCCTAGGGATTCTAAGAGAAAAAGGTGCTGCAGGTGCAGTAGTGCCTCACAAAACACTGGTTTAGCCCCTCTCTCTGCATTCATGTATGAATTTCCTGTATTCAATGTCCACAATAATGTTTTTGCAGGGGGAGCAATGCAATATCGTTCCTGATAACATAGATGATATTGTGGCAGATCTGGCACCGGAGGAAAAAGAAGAAGGTACATTTTAAATTAGTTCATGCAGTACTCATTTATATTTTGTTTCATTCTCCCCTATCATTTGTAGATAAGGAACAAAACTGACTCAGTAGCAAAAGTTCCACTTGCTCTCTAACAGTGATTTAGGTTTTCATCTCTTCTGCTGTCTACTATTAGTCTTCCCTTATAAAGTAAAGAAATTTTACACATATACCTAGAAGATGACAATAACAATACAGGTGATAAAAGAAAGAAGACTTTTGGGATTCAGATAATTTTTTTTTTTTTAAATGAAAGCTGGCAATTGGTAATTCTTGTTTCTTCTGGGCTAAAATGGAGAAGATAGAATGCAGAAGGAAAGAATGTATCCTAATAGAATCTAAAGTAATCATCAGCCAAGTAAAGGGGAGAAAATGGAAGACTTTTTTTAACATTCAATGCCTTTCCTTACTTTTTAGATGATACCCCTGAGACCTGCATATATTCAAACTGGTCCCCATGGTCAGCCTGCAGCTCTTCTACCTGTGAAAAGGGGAAGAGGATGAGGCAGAGAATGCTTAAAGCTCAGCTGGACCTCAGCGTGCCCTGCCCAGACACCCAAGATTTTCAGCCATGCATGGGTCCAGGCTGCAGTGATGAAGGTAATCAGGAATGAAATGTGGAGGGGAAGAACACCTTGTAGGGTTTTCCCTTCCTTTAAGTTTCTAAAGTCTGTTGGTTGCTGTAGTATGGCTTCAGTTATGGCAAACAGAGGCACAGCTGCTAAAGAACACCATATGAAGCTGTCTGTGGTCAATTCTGCATTTCAGCTGAGTCAGTGCATGAAAAACACAACAGTATAAAGGAAGGGAGTAAAGGAAGCAATAGAGGAAAGGACAATGTGAAAGGCAGCATCAAAGTGAATGCTGCACAGCAATGGGCAGCTACAGATTTATCAGCAATCTTGTCAATACTTGCTATTGAAATGGTTCTCTGTATTTTAGATGGTTCCACTTGCATGATGTCTGACTGGATTACATGGTCCCCCTGTAGTGTTTCCTGTGGAATGGGAACCAGATCTAGGGAGAGATATGTAAAACAGTTCCCTGAGGATGGCTCCATGTGCAAAGTGCCTACAGAAGAGACTGAGAAGTGTATTGTAAATGAGGAGTGCTGTAAGTATTTTATTTAACTTGATAAAATCCAGCCTATAACACGAGCACTGGCCAAACCATTTTTTATATGAGCCCTGCTTATGAACAATTTCCTCTGTCCACTTCGAATAGCTCCCAGCAGCTGCCTTGTCACTGAATGGGGTGAGTGGGATGAATGCAGTGCTAGCTGTGGCACAGGGATGAAGAGACGGCACAGAATGATCAAGATGACTCCTGCTGATGGATCCATGTGCAAGGCAGAAACTACAGAGGCAGAGAAGTGCATGATGCCTGAATGCCGTAAGTGTGCAGGAGTTTGTCTCCTCTGCTACAGGGAGGCATCATCTGACACATTGTTCCAGCACACAAAGAACATAGCTAAACTAGAAGCAATGTTGCTTTTTCTTATTCTCCTTAAAATTAGGCTTCTTAGGGAATGTGCATTAAGTACCGCATTCACCATCAGGATGGGAGCATCAGTAAAAAAGAATGTTCGCTGGTATCCTGTTACTGTATGACCCACATAGTGGTGTGTATATCAGCAAGCCATACCTAAACAACTCTGAAGTTATGGAATATGAGGCATATTTAGTCGTAAGGCTAAAATAAAACAAATAAAACCATGCCCTCTCCTTTTAGCCCGTGGACAATTCAGAAATCGAGGTGCTCCTTTTGTGCAGTCAGCCAGTCTCACCCTTCCTATTAACGTTGTTTTTAATTTCTTAAGAAACATTAAGATTTTCATCAGAGACAGAGATAAGTTTAAAAATGTTTTTGGTAGATAAAATGCGGAAGTTTCACATTTTAGACCAGATTAATTTGACTTCCAGATTAGTTTGACTTCCCTGTAACAATCCAGGGGTTTTTTTACAGGAGTTATGACTGAAACATAGCTTCTTAAAGTATTAATTCCTCAGATGCATTGGGACTCTGCAGGTAAGAATAAGCTACAGAAAGGGATAGCAAAGAAAAGATATTAAAATCAAGCAAACCTTTCAATTTAATATACTGTTTTCTGAGCTTCTTCAGCAACATCATTTAGCTTGTGACAAGAAAGTATAATTGGCTGATGACAGATAAAACATAGTACATTTTCCACCTGTATTATTTTCAAAATTTATACCTTTGTAATTTATTTATGAAAAGAATTCATTACCTTTTTATTTTCATGTCAGATACCATCCCCTGTCTACTCTCTCCTTGGTCTGAGTGGAGTGACTGCAGTGTAACCTGTGGGAAGGGAATGCGAACCCGGCAAAGGATGCTGAAATCTGCTGCTGAGCTTGGAGACTGCAATGAGGAGCTGGAACAAGCAGAAAAGTGCATGCTGCCTGAATGCCGTGAGTCTGGGGAATCCCCTGGAAAGAGAAGAATAATTACCATTGTAACAGTCTATGGGGCAAAACTCTATCACCACTCAAGTATCACTTCTTAGATGGAAGGAATATCAACTGTGCATTGTTTAAAAAATTATTATTGTTACTCTACACCTTCAGCAACTGAGAGCTGGAATATGATCATGTTTTAAATTCAGCTTCTCTTAACCCTATGGTTGTGATCGATCTTGATCAATACAGAATGCAGAAGAAAAGAACATATCCTATTAGAATCTAAAGTAATCACCAGCCAAGTGAAGAGGAGAAAATGGAAGACTATTTTTAACATTCAATGCCTTTCCTTACTTTGTAGATGATACCCCTGAGACCTGCATATATTCAAACTGGTCCCCATGGTCAGCCTGCAGCTCTTCTACCTGTGAAGAGGGGAAGAGGATGAGGCAGAGAATGCTTAAAGCTCAACTGGACCTCAGCGTGCCCTGCCCAGACACCTAAGATTTTCACACTAGAAAACCTGTTCAGATTAGACCCAGTCAGAGTTGCTCAAGGAAATGCTCAGTGAAGTTTTATTGTCTCCAAATATAGCAATACCACTGCTTCTCTGGGCACCTCTTGCAGTGTCTAGCCACCATCACAACGTAAAATATTTGTCTTGCACTTATTCAAAATTTACCATGTTCTGTGCCTGTTGCCTCTCATCCTTTACCTCTGAGAAGATTCTCTCTTGGTTTTACCTATACCCTCCCCCTCTGTACTAGGAGACAGCAATAAGATCCTCCTCAGTTTTTTCTACCTCATATGCCATATGCTTCAGCCTGTCTCCTGCCTGTCTTTGTGGTCATCCTCTGGTATGTCCACATCTCTTTTTTATGGGAAAGCCAAGAAATGGACACAGCACTCCAGAACTGGAGTACAGGGGATTCGCAGTTCTACTTGTTTAACACACTTCAGGCAACTGAAGTTTGTGAGCTCCCCAATAGTAAATAAGTCAGAATTATAAAACCTATGTTTTTACTCAAATGCAGAATGTGTGCTTGGAAGGAAGGAAAGAAGAGTTAAAATCACCTGTGAGATTGATTCTTTTAACTCACAAAAAGAGCACAAAAGAGGCTTTCTCTGTCTTTGACACATCTGTGAACTTTGATACACTTTGCAGCCTCCAATATCACATAAGCCAGTGGATGGTGTGGAGACAGCTGCAATGATTTTTTTACCTTACTCCATTAAAATCCCCCACTTGTTGGGCAGTGCAAATTTCTAGTTGCTTTTCACTCTTTGTGAAGGGTGATAGCCTAAGGTGCTGCTGAATGAATGAGATATGATTGCTTTTAGCATCCTGTTGCCAGCTGGTTTATGAGGTTTTATCACAAATTACATAATTTTTTCACAGAAAGTGTTGGTTAAAAAGGCTTTTACGCTGTAATTGCTCATTCAGCTTTTCTTAAATGATGTGAAATATCATTTTGATTATTATTCACTGGGGCTGTAAGCTTTAAGCAGTGCTGAAAGATGAAAACTTAAAAGATATAATGGTATTAGTGAATATGGCTTATTGCATAACGCTGCCAGAAAGCAAGGCTTAGATCTCAGAGGTAGCAAATTCTTTTGAAATATAACTCAATTTTCAGCAGCTTTTCATTACAAAACAGACATATGGGTGGGAAAATTGAAGAAGACACAGGAGAATTATTTATATGTTCATTGTAATTTTAGTGATGTGCCAGCACCACTCTTGAAGAAGAAATCAAGGAAAGTGTCAAATAATAAGTCTGCTAGGAATGGACTCAGGAAATTTTGATGTGCAGCCTCAAAACATTTGCTGAGAAGACTGGAGTTTTAAGTTGTGTTCATGTGTTTAGGGTGTAAAAAGTCATTAGGCACATCTGGTTTCTTGACCTTATGGTCAAGATTTCATGGATTTTGTGTCCTGTTTCTTGTTCTTTGCAGCCATCGACTGTGAACTAACGGAGTGGTCCCAGTGGTCCGAATGCAACACCTCGTGTGGGAAGGGCCATATGATCAGGACAAGGATGATTAAAATAGAGCCCCAGTTTGGAGGAACAGCGTGCCCAGAAACCGTCCAACGTTCAAAGTGTCGAGTGAGGAAATGCCTGCGAGGCCCAGGGATGGAAAAGAGGCGCTGGAAAGAGGCCCGGGAGAAAAGGAGAAGTGAACAAGTGCAAAAGAATATAGATAGTGAGCAATATCCAGGTGAGGGTCAAACCATTTTTGGAATGCTCATGGCTAGTTGTCTTTTCTGCATAACAGGAGTTACAGTGCACTCCAGCATTTCAGCCTAGGGAAAGTTTTAGCAATGAAATAAAATAAAACACAGCCCCTTTCAGCGTTTTCCTGTCACCAGAAACCTGTTCAATAATACTAAAGTGTGACCTGAGCTGGAGAAAAGCTCACATCTGCCCATGTCCCACCACTGAAAATATTTTAGCTACTCCACACAAAAGAATAGAATGTGAAAAAAATCTAAAATTTAGACCTGGCAAAGGACTGGCTGCAGTTTCTGCAGATCTAGGTGATAATCTTTGCATCCAGTTGCCTTTAAACTTCTGAAACATTTGTTCCTGGATCCAATGCTGAATTTCAAAACTGAATTAATTCCATCTCAATAATCTGATTCAGACTCAGTCTCCTCTGAGAGATCTGTTAGTACTGCTTTTTCAATAGGGGACAATATTATCAAGTACTGACTCCTCAAATCAAGAAAACATAATATCTTGGGTTATAGTTTACATTATGTCAAGAGGAATTACTGCTAAATTGTGGTTCATGCTTGTCTGACATTTAACAATTTGTTAGTTTGTCTTTTATAATGTAGATAATGCAGACAGTAAATTTCTTTTTTAATCCTTTTTTTTTCAGTGTTTGACAAATGCACCTTGATTACACCTAACAGGTGGTGCTACTATTAAAAAAATTAATCAAATCACTTATTTTTTCAGTTTGTAGGCTGAAACCATGGACTGCTTGGACAGAATGTTCTACACTCTGTGGAGGTGGAATTCAGGAACGCTACATGATGGTGAAGAAGAGGTCCAAAAGTACTCACTTTACTAGTTGCAAAGACAAAAAGGAGCTAAGAGCATGTAATGTTCATCCTTGTTAACAAAACACAAGGTTCCAAGTGATGCACTCTGAGCTAAATGGAAAGTCAACCTTGGTTTGGTTTTTAAAACAACAACAGCAAAAATATAAAGTGTATATTAGTTTTCATTTTTGCAGTGTGGTTTGCTTTTTAGTCTTGCTGGTGCAAGAAAAATATTTTATAGATGTTTCCTCACAGATTTATGCTGAGAGTAAATCTTTGGTACTCCAGCCAGCCCTTAATGCATAAAAATAGTAAGTCATCATGAGTTATTTAACTAAAATACAGACATATCTGTGGACATGTAATAGCCATATAGAAATACTACTTGTAAAGACATGGGATGCATGCATATTAACACAAGTGACATGTTTCATATGAGGGAGGATTTCTCTCTTGATTTGATCTGATTTTAAAAATCCAAAGCAGTGCCTACATAATTACACAACTATGCCAAGGAGTAATTTCAGTAATGCTGGTTCAATAATATTAAAGGTGCATGTTTATCTTTTTACACTATTGGGTTACGCTGATAGTTATAATAATAATAATAATAATCCTAAATACTTTTCTTCAAATGGATGCTGTGGTCCATGCAAAATGGTCTTTGTTTCATTAAAACTTAAAAAGAAAATAATTTGTATCAATAATGATGTCTGACCACTACACACTCAAGTCAAAACAGCACACAAAGAAAACATGTGAATGTCATAATATATTTAGGTTCCATACTCCTATTTTGGATCTATCCACTGCCTCTCAAAATAGATACAAAACTAATAGAAATTGGTCGAGACAGTTGCAACAGCTGTGTCACAAAGTTTTCCACATGAGAGACACTAAAAAACTAGATTCAGTTTCACGAGGATGTTAATCACAGATGAAGAGGGAAATAGGTTTATAACATAACAAAAATGGTAGAGAAAAGGTGAGCCAGGTTCTCATGTATCCCTTATGACAAACAAAGGGAAGGGAGCCTCTGAAATGAAACAATGACAGTCTCTTAAAAAAGTAATTACAGGTTGACATAGGAATACATTTACAGCACTGTCATTTATGTTTGGTTTTTTTACTCAGAGTATAGAATAATCTAAAAATGACTAAATTTGTGAAGGTTAGCCATTTGTAGATATATTAGCCAGGTTAAATTCCCTCCCTGACCACTTGAGCGATCAACAAACCGCCTGAGATTAGAAAATAGCTCCTCACATTTCTAATTGTTATTTTATACCCTCTCCTGCAGAATTTACCTCTCTTCCCTATGTGTAATCAGGTGTAATCAGCAAGACCCTTGAGCTTCACTTATTATTGGAATACAATATTGTCCTGTAGGTTTAACAAGATAACATTAAAGAGAAGAGGTTGTTGTCTTTTGGGCCAGGAAAGGCAGCATACACCTATGTCTCTACAGAAGTAAAAACAATGCACTGAAAATAAAGACTGTTGATACTGACTCTTAAAGCAAGCTTGAGAGAAATGAATGGAGCAAAATTTATTTTTTGGTGTCTTTAAAGCAGCCTTAAATAATTTACTCACTTCCTTAACACTAGGTCAGAACCCTGAGAACCTGACACCTGGGTTTTAAGTGTTCCCACACCTAAAGTGTGTGCACCACAACCCACTGAGGATGTTCAGCTTCACTGCCACCACCCTGGGGATCCTCTCATTACCCCCCTGTACCTGAACAGGGTGCACCCAGACAGGCTGGTTGTGTTACATCATAGGGCTTTTCATCAGCATTTCTCCACTGAATACTGCAAGGGCTGCTCAGTACTTCCACAGCTGCTGCATCCCACCCCCTCGAGGTATTGTACTGCTTTTTGCATGTTTGGAATGAAGGAAGGGCCAGGAAAATAATGGAACCAACCACAGTAATAAGCCTCTTCTGCTGCTGCTAAATGAAATGGGTGCAAGCCCACAGTCAACCAAACGAGGAGAAAAAAGGATACAACAAGGTTTAATGCTAAAACCAAACATTTTACATTTTGCACAGCTTGGCTCACTTAATAATATTAATTCAGAAGATAGTTTGCCTTCTTGGGCCTCTTAAAAAATTCTGTAGTTTATGTCTCTGTAGCACTGCCATTACAAGCATAGCAGCAAGTCGGTCCCTCTCTAATGCTTTATGACCTTACCTTCCACATGACCCTTTTGTGACCAAAACAAAAACCCAACAAAAAAACAGTGGAATGATATAGAAGCTGGAGGAGTGACCAGCTGAGCATATTTTGGGTGAAGAAAGAGATAGCTGCAAGAGGAGGGCTACAGTGACCAATGCCAGGGCAGAGCTACATCTGGCTGAGCTGACAGAGGCTGTCCCTACTGAGAGCATTCAGAAAAGTAATCTTTGACCATAAAATGTGTAGTTTTGGAGGCTTGGATCTGTGAGAGCCTGGGACAGGGAAAGCAGAAGAAGAAAGTTTCTCCTGAATGGAAAAAAAGTGTTATGAGTTCATGAACCATATTTTATCTCATCACCCCTTATCACTGGTAAAGCTATTCTTACGAAACCATACCTGTTTCAGCAAATAAGCAATTAAACCCAATGTTGTATTTTCATTTTCACGTTTGTTCCAGTTCATCAAGCTGTTTTGTCCATTAAATGCTCCCTTTGACAAAGGCTACATAGTCCAAATACATCTTTAGATATATAGGAAATATACAATATCTTTCTGACTGTGCTCACAAAACAGGCCATTAAAACAATCTAGCATTCCTTTCTCTGTAGTTCTCACTAATTTGATCCTCTGTATACTTTTTTTTTCACTCTTAGAAGGCTGTTCTTAGAAGTCTGATTTCCAGTCATTTCTCTTAGGCTCATTAAAGTTATGAAAATTGGAAATTATTTTTTCCCCCACCTTGTTAATAGATGAAATGACAAGGTAAATTGCACCGGGTCAAAAATGTGTGATCATTCCTGCTTAGATTCAGTTTTTCACACTGTTTTTCTGTTGAAACATTTTACAAATCACTTGTCTTTGTTCTAACTTGATACAAGAGAAATATTTAAGCTTGTTACATTTTGTAAAAAAAGAAACACAAACAAAAACAAATGAAGAAAAAATAAGAGGTTGATTTTCTATTCAGAAAAAAAAAAGCTCTGATATACAATATGTAGAAGTCTTGCATTGTTACTGTAAACTTTCTAGTAGTGTAATAGCCACTGATTATCAGTCAATAAAAATAAGAACTGTTATCGTTCTGATGTCCTGAATAATCCTGCTGAACTGAAAGCACAGATGTCACTCCAGTTTTGTAGACCTCGACTATCAGATCTTAGCATTGTGCGTATGTTTTTTTTCTAATATACAAACTGTAGAAGCTTTACACATAACAAAAAAGAAAAGTTAGGGGCTTTACAAATGTACAGTAGGACTCTGTGTGTGTGTGGCCTACCAAGTTAAACAAAGTTTTGTTTAATTGCATTTTTAGATTTCCTTCGTTGTTTTTGTTTGCTGTGGAATTATGAAAAAGCTCCCATGAACATTTCTTACCAAAGTCTTGTGTAGATGTTTTGTAGCTGTCTGGCTAACATATTATTATTATTATTATTATATTATTATTATTTTGGAATAAAGACATCTTTACTATGAATTTTACACTTGTATGAGGTTCTGTTCAACTAATATGATCACGTACACCAAAAAACACTTATTAATATGAGGAGTCAAGTCATGTTCCTATTTACGTTTTAATCCTGTTCAAGGTAATGGAATATTGGGAGTGAGTGGATTTTACTAGAACCAGTCATTCTTTCTACTTGGAAGTTGTCTGCATCAAGGTCTTTGTCAAATGGTTTGTTGTTCTCTAGAAGTCACAGGGTAACTCATGAACATTCCATAAATTACAGTGTATTACTCTCATGTGGGTTTTGTTGCTGTTGTTGATTTTTAATAAAAGAGAAACTATTTAAAAGAACACATTTTAAAGCCTGGTGATACAAGAAAAAAAAACCTGTTCAAAATGAACTTTCAAAAACTCTTGAGATTTTATGAAGCTTTCAACAGATATTTTGTGCTACTTGAAAACTATTTTGGGACACTGAGAGTGCAAGCGTGTCACTGATAATTACACAGAGGTGATGGGAGCCACTCTGCAATGTTGCTACTCTAGAAATCCAACTGTATGTAACATCTTGCAGCCAGGTAGAAGTGACAGGCGTGTTCACAGAGAAACCCCTCTACCCTAAAACTCAGACCTAATAAGGCTGAGGGGAACCTAGAGGGAGTGCCTGGAGCTGACAGGCTGGGAGTTCCACACCAATAAGTGAAGACACAGTCTGGTCCAATACATCTTCATTGGCATTTAGCTGTTTGCTCTTAGTAGAAAAATGCTCAGTATTTCCAAGCAGCTGTTTCAAGGTGGGTTTGTCAGTGTGCACAACAGCAGCATGAGGGGCACCTCAGCAGTGCTGCCAACTCACTGAGCATCCCTGCCCCAGTGGAACTGGTGACTCGGGAAGGGACAGCACCTCCTGCCAGCCTGCTGCCTGCAGAGACTCTGCCATGGTATCATTCAGTCCCTATAGCCACTTTCAGAAGCACAAAGACAGGTTAACTCACCTTTCCCTAAACTCTGCTTTAGTTGCTACATGGATTTATGGAGCAATGCATTGTCCTGGCACACCAAGTGGTGAGACATCACAAACAGCAATCTTATGGCCTGTAAAGCTGTATCTGATGAGCTTTCCCTGGGAAGGGGTCACAGAGCATGAGGAATATATGGCATTTTGATGTGCTAGCCAGCCAAGTGACTGCTTGGGTACTGCCTGACCTCTCTTCAGGTGCTCTGTGCATGGCCAAATACACCTAAACCATGGCAGAAAGATGATGAGTGAAGCAGATCCTCAGCTGGGATTTGTAATATGAGAGAATAAATTCACTCCCTTTCTAGACAGAGTTGACATTATCAGGGCCACAGAAATTGCGTTTCTGGAATGGGAAAAAATCCAGAAAACGCTGAAATTATGCACAGCTCTTAGCTAAAATCTGAACCCTATCATTGCAGACTATCATTTCCATTTCTAGTGTAGCTACTGATGCCACAGCATATTGCCACATGGCTCTTAGTCTGTAAAGTAAGCTATGAAGTGTGTGTGTGTGCACACCTCTGTGTAAATACATACATACATATATGTGGTATACAGTTTACACATACTGAAACAATTTTTTCATGGTTTGGTTTGGTTGTTCATTTTTTTTTCACTTAGGAAGCAGCATACTAACTATCAAGGGGGGAAAACCTTTACCAGTAAATTGAAATACGCTAAAAAATCTCTTGCTACCAAGTTTAAGGCACATAGTGTTCTTTGCTCTGCATGCAAACTCATTTAAGATCTTTATTGCAACACTTCCAACTTTGGGGCTCAGTCACTTCACGTAGCATTTTGCAAAAGAAAGCAGTTATAGGCCACCTGAATGATATTGAATTTTGTCTCCTCTGGTTTCCAAAAGACAGAACAATTTGTGCCATAACTGATGGGCACATTAGCTGCTCAGTAGGCAATGACATTTTTCGCATGTGGTCTAGATAGCTTAATGCATCTAAAATGCTAAAGCTTGGAGCTCTGCATTATCATCTTCTTTTCAGAAGTCCTCAGGAACATCAGTTACTCTGCCATCAGTAATAAACTTACAAACACTGAGGCAGGAAAGTACTCCCTTTCTGTTTACGTGTCTGATTTGCACCAGTAGGAGAAATGAAGCCTCTCCTAACTCAGAATTTGCTTCCTTTTCATGGCAGGGTATTTTGAAATGGGTCTTTTAAAATATACATTTGTTATACATTTCAAAGAAAGACCAAAAAGTTTGTTTCCAAACATGACAAGCATTTCTCACCATGCCTCTAACTGTGCTGTTTGAACCAGCAGTGGCACTGCCAGCACCTGCCTAAGGGCAGCTCAGACTGATGTCTCTGAGGGGCTCTCTTGGGAGCACATGGCAACATTTGAGAAGTACCTGGTGCTTTTGAAAGGCCAAAAAACTCTGCATGCCCCCTCTATTGCACCAGATGCATCCTTAGTGCGTTTCATGGGCTCAGCTCCAAGGCTATCCCCGTCACCACAGTCACAACAGTGCCAATTCAAGAGCCTGTCTGTGAGCCTGGGATGCTTCAGGAGACAGTGCCCTAGAGGGAAGGGCCACAGGCAGGGTATAACATCTGCCTTTCAGGGCAAATCAGAAGTTCTGGGTTTAGGCACAATAGGCAGGACTGTGAATCCCTGGACATGATGAACACTCACACTCTTGGCTCTCACCATTCAGACTGGAAGTCACCTTAAACACTCACCCACCCGAGGCCCAAATGCAGAAGGTACCCCAAAGCAGCACAGCATGTACCAAACCAGCTTGACCTAAACTGCTTTATATCACAAAAAGAGAGAGAGTGCTCGTATGCATATAAAGAAAAAGAGCAATCAGGACACATGGCTATATCACAGAACCCTTCCAAGCAATGTTCTCCTTCCCACTGAAAGGCCTGGATGGTGCTGCCAAAAACTCATCCCCTCTCTGTGCCTGTAGAAGGTGATGTGATTGAGTCTATACAGAAAGCATCACAGTTGTTCCACTAACAGTGACTGTAAAACTAAACTGGATGAGACTTGTGCCAGGGTTAGGCTTAGAAGAATAAGAGGTCCCAGAGTTGACATTCTAGCAGCACTAACAAACTTTTGGGGTGGCACGGAGCATCACTTGCAGAAAGCCGGTGGCTTATCCCTGCCTCTGAACAGCTCAGGTCAGCAGAACAAGGGGTCTGAAAAGCATCATCCAGCTCCTGAGCAGGTAAAGTAAAGGATTTATGCTTGTAAGCATTAAGACAAGGGAGTTGGGCCAACAGCTGAAAAAACATAAATAACAGATCCCACACTTTACCCATAAACCTCAAGGTATCACACAGTACTTTATCAATATAAATCAGAATTTAAAAGAGTAAAAAAAGAAGTTTTTTACTTACAGTACCTTTAAGGCCATTTCAGCAGTGAGGGAAACAAAGCAGTGCCTGGAAAAGAAAAGGAGGAGGTTAGATTGTAAGTTATAAGGAAAGAAAAGAAGGGATTAGTTTATAATTACGTCATGAATTCAAAGTGCATAAAGTTTTATGAATGGCAGAATACAATTTTTATATCACCTATGTAAAATGATACACAGAGAACAGGCAGCTGAACTATTTGGAATGGTTAAAACATTTACATGCTCTCTCAGAAGTCGTGAGGGGAAGAGGAGGGGTAGGCACTGATCTCTTCTCTGTGGTGACCAGTGACAGGACCCGAGGGAACGGCCTAAAGTTGTGTCAAGGGAGGTTTAGGTTGGATATTAGGAAAAGGTTCTTCACCCAGAGGGTGATTGGGCACTGGAACAGGCTCCCCAGGGAGGTGGTCACAGCACCAAGCCTGTCTGAGTTCAAGGAGTGTTTGGATGATACTCTCAGGCACCTGTTGTGACTCCTGTGGATGGTCCTGTGCAGGGCCAGGAGTTGGACTGGATGATCCTTGTGGGTCCCTTCCAACTCAGCATATTCTGTGATTCTGTGAATAAAGAAAGAGCGAAATATTTGTCAGTTATCTGTACTTTCTACAATGTGTTTCAAATTCTAGTTTATATGCACCTTAAACATCAGAAATGAGGATAGATATCTGTAAATGTATCACTCCTGAAGGACACACCAGTGTACAGAAAGGAATCAGCATCTGCACATACACAGGTTCGAAATGTCTGTACTGGATCACCTCTTGGAGAAATAAAATGACATCCCACTAGATGGCACTGGAAGCCAACAAAGACAGCTGTGTGTGGGTAAAAAACAATGAAACAAAACAATAAATAAAAAACCGAAAAAACGAAAAACCCCACAAAAGCCCAACTAAGCAATAGAGCCTGTGTGCAGAGCATCACTGTGGCAAGGGTCTCACAGGCTGTAAGTCAACAGTTTTCTCTCAGTGTCTGCCCACTCTCCGCTGACAGTGAGAGCCTCCCTGCTGCAGCCATGCCAGGCACCTCGCAGGGAGGTTCAAATCTTGTCCCAGCCTTTTTTCATTAGCCACAGAAATGTTAGTGGCTGCAAATAAGGTGGAAAGGGGATAGGGAAGGGTGATGCAATGAGCCCACAAAGCCACACCTGCCAACTGCTCTTTCAGAGAGGCAACTGTACCTTCTACTGGACAAGTGTTTTTATCAATCTTCAGAAGCAAACACATTGCAGAAATCTTTTGGCCTGGGTAATAACCACTTGGCTAGGAGGAGGAGGAGGTCTAAGCCTTCAAACACTCCTGCAAGGCAGGGTCAAGGACAGGAGGTTTGAAATCAACCTCCCTGAGTGCTCGTGTTGGGGCACAGGGACTGGTGACCCAGTTGAGTTAGGGGCTGCAGCCAGACTTCCCGAGGCATCCATAGGCTGGCACAGAGGAGAACACATTGGCTGAACCCAGGGTTAGAGTCACACATAGGATTTTGAGGCTGGTGTGACACAAAAGTCACTGGTGCCTAGTTTCTTCTTGGGCAAGGTTTCCTGTACTGAAGATAGTAAAGCACCTGTTATAGTTGTGGTCACATTACTTTGTTCACCACTACTGTGTAAAGATAAGCATTTTTTT